ATGAGGAGGACCCCAGCACACATGGACTTGCATTGTAGGGTCCTAGACTAGGTACAAAAAGCATTTCAAGCTCCTTGAGGCCAGGGATTGTATTGGACAGTTTTTTTTTCATGTCTTAGCATCTCTAGCACAGACTAAGATCTCAATGCATATTTTTTTTTATAGTGGATTACATAGGTTATCGCTATGTGTGTATGGGAAGGGTATAGAGGAATTTGTGTTTTGTTTAGGACATAAATTAAGGAGTTTTAAAAGATGTTGTGCATGGAAGTGACATAATAGGTTCAAATATGACCAGAGTAATTCAGGAGAGTTCTGCAAGGAGATCTAAAAGAAATGAAGTGAAGATGAACTGAAAGCGTCAATGTTAGAGTAAATGTTTACTCCAATGTAAACAAAACATTGGAGTCTGTTTATTGCAAAACTGTCAGTTTTGGCATGAAGGCATGTGTTCTGCTTCAACCATTCATGCACTCACCCAACAGATATTTAGTGAGAGCCTAATATATGCCAGGCAAGGTGCTAGGTGCTCCGGCAGTTACAAAGATAATCAAGGTGCATTTTCTATTTTGAAGATGTCCTTGTTCAAGTGGAGACACCCTAGAGATGTCCTTGAGTGAATCCCACTTTGGATGCTAGATGAAAGCAAATGAAAATTCTGTAGCAACCCAACAAGAATTTTTGTGGACATAGATGTATAGGAAAGGCATGGGCCCTAGAATAGCTACAACTATCCCGAAAAAGAAGAAAAAGTGGGAGGAATTACCCTTTCTCATATTTAAGCTCACCATGTAGCTGGTCATCAACACAGTGAGATGCTGATGGAGCAGTAGACACCTACATCAAGGGAGCAGAATAAAGAACCAAGAAATAGACCCACACAATAATGTAACTGATTTTTAATAGTATAAACTAATAGATAACTGATAAATAACATTATATTGGTTTCACATGTCAAGGTAAGTAATCTTTGACAAAGGTACAAAAGCAATTCAATGAAGCAAAAAAGGCCCTTTCAACAAATGATGCCGAAGCAACTGGATATTCATAGGCCAAAAACAGAAGAAAAAAAAGGAATGTTGATTTGAGTCTCAGACCTTATACAAAAGTTCACTCAGCATGGAGCATGGTCTTAAGTGTAAAAGGTAAATCTATTAAACTTTGAGGAAAAAAAAAACAGGAGGAAAATCTTTGGGACCTAGAGTTAGGCAGAATTCTGAGACTTGATTGTAAAAGCATGATTCATAAAAGGAAAAACTGATGAATTGGACCATATCAAAATTAAAAACTTTTGCTGTGTGAAGGATCCTTTAAAGAGGATAAAAAGACAAAGTACAGACTGGGAAACCTATTTGTCAACCAAATATCTAACAGAAGACTAGTATGTAGAATATATCAAAAACTCTCAAAACTCAATGGTAAAAAAAAGCACATGAGGAGATGTCCAACAGCATTAGCCATTAGGGAAATGCAAATTAAAACCACGATGAGATACCACGACATACTTGTCAGAATGGCTGCAGTAAGTAATGACACCACCAAATGCCGGTGAGGATGAGGAGAAACTGAATCTTTCACACACTGATGGTGGGAATATAAAATGGGGCCACCACTCTGGAAAAATGGTTTGTTCCTAAAAAAATTTGCATCTACCATACAGAGGAGCATGTGCACTCTTCAGCATTTATCCCAGAGAAATGAGAGACTTATGGTCATGCAAAAATCTGTACTCAAGTGTTTATAGCAATTTTACTTGTTATAACACTCAACTGGAAACAGTCTAGATGTCCTTCAAAGGGTGAATGGTTGACAAAGTCTGGTACAGCCATACCATGGAATAGTGTTTGGTAGCAAAGAGGAACACACCGCTGATACATGCAACAGCTTGGATGAAATTTGAGGGAGTTAGGCTAAATAAAAAAACTCAAGAATTGTTACATCTCATGTGATTCCATTTATACAACTGCTTGATGTGGCAATATTACAGCAAGGGAGAACAGATTACTGGTGGACATGACTCAGGGGCAAGGTGGGGGAGGCGGGAGGGAGGAGGGTGGGTGTGCAAAAGGGCATCAGGAGGCATCTTTATGGTGACTGAACTGCCTTGTATGTTGACTGTATCACTGTCAATATCCTGGGTGTGGAATTACACTATAGTTTTGCAAAATGTTACCATTGAGGGCAAGTGAGTGAAGACTTCACTGGATCTCTGTGTATATTTTCCCTTATAACTGCTTGAGTCCACAATTACTTCAAAATCAAGTGTTTAATTTTAAAAAACATAGTGGATTAAATAAGTTATGTTTATTTAAACCAAAATGAAATATATAGAGAAAAAAAGATGTAGCAGAGAGGAAAATATGAGAACTCTACTGTGAGTCAGGAAAGGGCCTGACTCAAGGGTGGTGCTGCTGGGTCTAAACTTTGCGTCTTTTACAAAGTACTGTTTGCAGGTAAGTCTCACAAGGGAGATGGTTAATTATTTACAATTTTTGCTGGGTTAAAATACAGGATTATAGTAACTGCAAACATACGGAGCCCTTACTGTGTGTCATGTGGGTCCTATGGGCTTTGCATACATTAATTCACATCTTACTCTGAGTCACACGGTCCGATCCTCTGTCCCTGAGAGAGCTCACTGCCTCACGCGGGGATCAGCCGCCTGCCTGGGGTCACACAGCTGAGAGTGGGGAATCTGTGATCGGATGTAAGTCTGGCTCCAGAGCTCCATCGAAGTACAGGGCTGCATTGCTCATTTTCTCTCGTCCCCAGATTGTAGTTCTCACATTGCATTTTCAAGGCACTGGAAAACTTCTCTTTTCTCCTTTTAAAAAATAGACTTAATTTTTTCAAGAGAAGTTTTAAGTTCACAGCAAAACTGAGAGGCAGGTGCAGTGATTTCCCATAATACACCTGTCCTCACTCATGCAGAGCCATCCCCCACTGGAGTGGCACATTTCTTATAAATTTTTAAGACATTAAAAAACACTTTTCCAGATTTATCGAGGTATAATTGACAACTAAAAGTTGTATATATTTAAGGTGTACAGCATGACGATTTGATACACATATACATTGTGAAATGATGGCCACAATTAAGTGAATTAACATATCCATCACTGCACATAGTTACCTGTTGCTGTTCATGTGATAAGGACACTTAAGATCTACTCTTAGCAAATTTCAAGTATGTAATACAGTATTTATTAACTATGGTCACCATACTGTACTTGAGACTCTCAAAATTAATTTATCTTAAAACAGCAGGTTAGTACCTTTGACCAACATCTCCTCATCTCTCCCATCCCCACCTCTCCAGCTCCTGGTAACCATTGTTCTATTCTCTGGTTCTATGAGTTCAATCTTTTTTAGATTCTGCATGTGAGTGAGATCATAGAGTATTTGTCTTTCTGTGTCTGGCTCATTTCACTTAGCACAATGTCCTCCAGCTTCATCCATGTCACCACAAATGGCAGAATTTCCTTCTTTCCTTATGGCTGAGTAATATTCCCCTGTGTGTGTGTGCCACGTCTCCTTTATCCATTCATCCATCGATGGGTTTAGGTTGTTTCCATGTCTTGGTGATAGTGAATAATGCTGCAGTGAACACAGGGGGTAGATATCTCTTTGAGATACTGATTTCCTTTCATAAGATAAGTGCCAAGAAGTGGGATTGCTGGATCATATGGTAGTTATATTTTAAAGGACCTCCACACTGTTTTCTATCATTGATGTATCTTTTTTTTCTTGTAAATGGAGCAACTACTATGAGTAAATCCTGCGCTGATGTTGGAGAAACATAAAGATGAGTAAGATCAAATCCCTGTCCTTGAGGATTTTATATTCAAGGAGAAAGACACTAAATGCCTCTTTTGGGAAGAAAGGGTGAGAGCAGAAACCTGGTTTGCTTTTGTGCATCCATTGCCTTTATCTGCACAGTGACCTTGAGAAGCAGGGTCTGAAGCCAGACTACTAGAATTCAGTTTTGACTACCTCCCACTAGCGGGATTGCTTTGAGCAAGTTCCTTATGCTCTTTGAACCTTAACTTAGTCTCACAGTCATGCTCTAGGAAACTTTGCTGGCTGGTTTTTATCCTGCATGTGAGGGGACCCAGGAGATATTTTGAGCAGAGAAGTGACATAAGCTCATTCATGTTTTGGGAAGATAATATAAGCTGCAGGAGGTATGGTGCGAGAGAGATGGAAACCAAAATCAGGAACCAAAAAGGAGGTTGTTGTAATAGTACAAGAAAAGTTAAATGAGGACCTGGCAATGGGAGCAGGAAGAAGGAAGAGAAAATTGGTGAATTCAAGGATTTGAGGCTGATTGGCGGGTGGAAGGTCTAGAACAGCTCTGACGCTGCCATTAGCCACATCAGGAACATGGGAACAGGGGCCAGTTGGAAAGCAAATAGTTCAGTTTACACATGTTGAGTCTGGGACCCATGGACGATTCGGTGGACTCCTGAAGACATGACGCTGTGCTCAGGAGAGAGCAGAGATGAAGGCACAGACGCACAGATTGTGTGCGTCAAGCGATGATGGTCGGATCCATGTGACTAGAGGGGAAAGTGGGCAGAATGCAACACAGGAGACCCGACCCAGGCGCTGGGGTTTGGACAGCAGGTGCACTTGGGAGTAAAGATAAGCCAGCAAACAGGACAGAGAAGGAACAGATCAGAGAAAATCCCGGAGAATGCGAAGTCACAGCAACCAGTGGGGTAGGGAAGTTCAAGAGGAAAGGACCGACAGTCCTGAGTGTTCTAGAGAAGGAAGGTGGACTCCAACCCAAGAGGCTGTATCTGGATTTGGGTAAATGCCTGGTGGGTTAAAGTGTTCATAAGACAGGAGTCACATTAAAGTGATTGTTGAGAAAATAAGAAAAAGGAGCTAACAATCAATTTAGAATTCGTTCGACCTGTTTTTCAAAGTTTAACATGAAAAGGAAAGTGAGGGCAATAGATGGGTACTTCGTGTCCTGGACAAATCCTTTTGCAAAATCAACATTTATTTTGTAATGTGTATTTGGATTGCAATTTGGGTTGCAATTTGGATGTGAAATAAGAATCCATTCAGAACGTGGTCATAGGGTTTGATGAAAGAAGTAGGGTTGAAAGGAGTAAGGGACTCTCCAGAGACTAGGCAGCTGTGGCAGCTGGTGAAGTCCATGGCTGGCTCTGCCTGTGCCTCTGGCGGTGGTTCTGCAGTCACTGCACATGCTCGGGGCCAGCCTAGGGAAGAAAGGCTGGATGTGAGCTTGGGGAGCGCAGGCAAACCGGAATCTGCGGAGATTAATTGGAACCCATGAGAGGCAAAGAAAGCCTGTGCAAACAAACTGGAGCCGGCCTCGGCCTCACTGCCTCTGACCTGGACAAGGAGCTGCATGCACACCTGGCCCAGCAGATGAAGATGCTCCAGGGGGAGACCCTGCCACAGCCCGGCCCCACACCAGCAAGGCGGCAGCCCGTAGTGCTAACGGCCCCTGGTCCTGCATGCTCCTTCAGGGCCTAAGGGCTGCCGCTTCACTTCTACCCTCTGAGCCCTGCACTCATTTTTCTTGTGTGCAACCCTAACTCAGCCTCATAGCGAAGGAAATACTGAGAAACACATCACTAGTTTAGCTAAGCTGACAAGGCCACCTCAGGCATGGGGCATGATAGCACAATGTCACTCACTGGTCACCACTCAAAGGAGGGAGTGGCACACTATGGTGAAAGGCACACGAGGGTCATTCTGTGCATTAGCTATAGGCTGGCAACTTTCCAGCCTTTGGAGCTCAGATTCAACGAGAACTCTGTGGCCAGGAAGGACTCGTTTACCCAGACCCATCCTCCCCCAAATCATGGGTGTCCTGTTTCCCACGCTCTGTGCAGCAGAGGAGGAGGGTGCAGTAAGTGTGAAGGAATTGGCATTCCAGCATTTGAAAAGCTTCTGTCTGTCACTTTGAACTTTGGTCACTGACCTCTGACCTCTGAGAGGGACTCTCCACCTTTGAACCTTCCATCCAACTTTTCAAAGACGGTGGAGGTTCCCGATTTCTTGACAACCCATGGAGAAATGTGGGTGACATTTAAGTTGGGTTGCCTGGAAGGCCTTCAGACACTGGTTTCCAAAGCTTCAGGTGGCCATGAGCACCTGAAATCTGTCCTGGTGACTTAAGTGTACCCTCCTAGGTTAAAACGAAAGTTTTGGAGAAAACAGCTTCTGCTTCTGGGTTCTCACTGTCACCTGTTAGGACTATGAAACAGTGGAGGCCCATGGATCTAAGGAAAAAGGAGCAGAGATTACTTTGAAGGCATTTGGAAGCTCGCACCTAGGCTGTCATCATTTTCCAAAGAGGGAAGGACCAGAGAGGAGCTTTATTTATCCCAAAGGACTCAGTCCCTGAACATCATTACAAGGTGTAAAACTAGGCACATTTCTTTTTTCGATTGGCATTAAGCTATACCATCAGAACATAGTAAGCAGCTCAATTATGTTAGGAATAAAGAAAATATCTTCTAGCTACTAAAATGTAGCACCTAAAACTTCTTCATGAAACTCCAGTTATTCTTGTTCAAAGAGTATGAGGAAACCATGGCAGTTATTCTGAGGAGTCAATATTCTTCAGGGGTTGTGGCAATAATAATCACAGTACAGTAGTTAATATTTATTTAGGACTTGCTGTGTGCTTGGCACTAACCAGTTACTTGGTGTTTATGATCTCATTTAGTCCTCCCCACACTCCTAGGAGCTCAGGGCTCTGACTGCCTTCACTTAAAGATCGGGAAACCTGGGGCCTAGAAAGGTTGTGACAGAGCGAGTTCCTGAGCCAGAGTTTCAACCCAGCCCGCACCATTGCACTGAATCCTTACAAAAAGTCACACTGATTGGTGGGTTACATGCCACGGTGCAAGAGATGTAGGAACAGGAATGTTTAGTGCAGTGTCATAATATTTTGTCATTTGAAAAAGTGTGTATGCTGATCAAGAATGTTTGATTAAAGTGATGAATTACATCCAGTCAATGGGCTAGCTATGCATCTGTCAGGAATCACAACGTCGAGATGTAGACATGTATTAACTGACATGGAAACGTGTGTTGAGGCACAGACACGAAAAGGTCACAAAGCAGAATGGATAGGGTGATCAGTTTTAGCAAATTGATTTGATATAATGATTGATATAAGCATTGATAAAAGTTTAAAAGTCTGGGAAATGATACAGTGCAAATACTGGTAGTGATCACCTTGAAGTGGCAGGATTCCAGGCATTTCAAATCATTGAGTTTTCACTCCTTGTCTCGCAATGATCACGTAATAAAAAGCAGAATGTGAGCTTCATACATGGTGCCCTTTCGCTGAGACGCTTCCCTCTGAGTCGAAACTGGAAATCAGCCCGACTGCGCTCGACGGGCACTGTGACCGCGGACCAGTCCCTTGTCCTTTCTGGGCTTCCTGTTCCAACTGTCTAACAAAGGAGGAGGTCTAATTTCCAAGTTTCTTCCAGCTCTAATATTCTTTGACTTAATGAATCTCATTGCCAGTGGAGGTTCTTTAAAAAATGGCATGTGGGGGTTTAAAGGTTGATAAACAGTCTCTGAAGCTTCTCTAATTTCTTTGAAATACGCAGTTGTTGATATCATTCTGTCAGTCCCTTGAGAAGAGAAATTTAAAGCATTTCACCAGAGATGTTATCAAATTGCTCTGGGAAAAAATTAACTTAACCCAGAAAGGCAAGTTAAAAAAAACATCGCAATATATTATTTTATTAATGCATTATATAAAAGATCTAGCAGGGAATTGGTAACCACCGCAATTGTCAAGTAGTCATAAGTGCAGATAATATATCTAAATACCTGAAATAACTGTCTTATGACACATATTCAGTGATTTTTAAAAATTGAAGTGTATTTGAGATACAATATCCTATTAGATCCAGGTGTCCATCATAGTCATTCGGTAGTTCTATACATTACCCAGTGATTTCCATGGTAAGTCGTTACCATCTGTTACCATATAAAGTTACCGCAATATTACTGACCACATTCCCTATGCTGTACTTTCATTCCCATGATTTATTTATTTTATATCTGGAGGATTGTATCTCTTACTCCCCTTCCCCTATTTTGTCTGTTCCTCAACCCCGCCCCACTCTGGGAACCACTGACTCATTTTCTGTATCGATTAGTCTATCGGTGTTTTGTTAGTTTGTTTTGCTTTTCAGATGCCACATACAAGTGAAATCCCAACGTTTTTGTCTTTCTCCGCCTGACCTAGTTAACTTAGCAGAGTACCCTCTAGGTGTAGCCAGAAAGACATATTTTAAACTACACATTGAAAAACCAACCACAAAACCACTACCCCAACAACACACCCCACAAGCCAAGCAAAAAAAGAAGTAAAACTGACTACCCACATTTCCGACTCTTGTCCTTATTCTGAAAACTTGGAAAGAAGCCATCTGTCACATAAACCTGATTAATAATAATAATAATAAATGATAGAATTTGTTTTACAGACCTCCATAGGGCCGTTTAGCATTTTCCCACTCAGAAACAAAGCAAAATCCCAGCCGAGCGAAGGAGGGCGGGGAGAAGGAGCAGGTCCTGAGCTGGAAAGGCGGGGGCTGGCTGGCGGGACTCCCTGCGTGAACCCCGGACGCGGCCAGACCTGGCGGGAGGCCTGCTCTCTGGTGCCCTCTTCTGTGCAGTCGGCCCGCCGCCCTCCGAGGTGCGCAGGGCTGTCCAGGGTCAAGTGCAGCCTACGGGCTGCTCTGTACCAACGAGGCCCGCTTTGCCGCGCCCGGCAGCCTGGCGCTCTGCTCAGGGGGACGACAAAAAGCCCTCGTGCAATTTCCTAGTAGCCTTTCACGCCCGCCTCCTTCGGGAACACCCTCAAATTTTTGAGAAGTGTCGTGTTATGTTATCCTCCCCAGACAAGGAGGTCTTAAAGACATCTTTACATTCAGCACTCTGAATTATGAAAACAGAAGGTACTTTTTCAACAAATGTAAACATGGACTATGCATCTCACTTATTCTTCTATGGCATCACTCCGGAGGGAATCTCTCTGAGAATCACTGCTCTAGAATCCTCTGCCCCTGCCGGCCCTACTCCCCACCGTACCTCCCATCCGCTGGGCAGTTCTCCAGGCAGCATTCACTCCACCAGATGCAGGGCAGCGGGCAAATGACTAAACCCCTCTGAGCTAAGAACGTCCTCCTCATAAAGCCCATCTATTTATTCTCTCATCCAACACAGGTCAGCTGAGCAGCTACTCCAGCTGGGCCCTGGGCCTGGTGCTGGGGGCACATCAGTAAACACGCCTTCCCAGGCCTGGGCGGCTCGTCACTCTTGTCAAACTACCACCCAGAGTGGGAGCTGCACCGAAAGGCAATAAATGCACAAATGGTTGTGAGTGTGTCAGTGTAAGGAATGGGACACAATGAGAAAGAGTAATTCAGGTGGCCAGCTCATGGAAGGGCATGCAAGATGAACCTCAGGGATAAATAGCAAACCGTGAGAAATGTTGGACAAAGAGTCCACGTTGGGAAGGTGTCCTAACGTCTAGGAGAGGCTGTTTGGCTGGGTCCTCGGGAGTGAGGGTCAGGCTCAGAAGCAGGTGGGAAGATGAGGGCACAGATAGCAAAGCCTTGAAGGGTGAGCTAAGCTATTGGGACAAATCCGAGAGTGCTGGTGAGCCACTGAATTTATTTGTGATCATTGCCATGATCTCATGAAGGTTTTGAAAGGACCCCTCTGGCTGCCGCAAGGGTAGTAGTTGGGGGCAGCAGGGTGACGGATGGTTCTGGGTGGGAACAGCGGGGCGGTGAGGAGGCCAGAGGCAGAACTTGATCTGGAGGCAGGGCTGATGGACATGCTGCCAGGGATGTGGGGCTGGGGGAGAGGCCCATGGCTGGCATGGAGGCTCACGGCTGGGACAGGGGGCGTGCAGGGGAGCTGCTCTAACTCGTGCTTAGATCCCGGACGGGAAAGCAGCCCGCCTGAGTCTGGGGGAATCTGAAGCTGCGTCTTCAGTGGGCTGCTGACAGAGGCACCAGGAACTCTGCTGTTCAGAGAGGTGTGTTTGATGCCAAACTTGTGTAAGAATGGCTCTTGATGAGGGTGTGATATTATTGAGTCATATTGTTTCCATGTTTAGGATATAAAGGAAAGCAAATCAAGAAGTGTCTTTTAATGTGACAAGTTCAATTTTTAACTTTGTTTTTAACTGTAAAAAAGAGGAAAACATGCATTTAACTCTGGCAGATTAACAAAAGTGAACGTGGGACCTAGGAATGGCATACCGGGTGGAGGTCAGAAGAATGAACGTCAAGTCAGTGACAGGACTAGATTCTTCACCATCTTTCGGAACTGTGATCCGGTGACACCCTCTCAGACTTCAGCACCAGTGCAGCGCCCCTGTTATGGGGCTACTAGAGCTCTGAAGCAAGATAAGCCGCAGATGCGCATGACCTATGACATCTTGTTCTAATCTTCAAGTAGTAATCAGAATGACCACAGTATAAGATGGCCATGACATAAGGTGGTGGAGATGCTCAAAACAATAATGGCAAGGCCACCCCTGCAGCATCCAGTCCACCGAGCACTGCCACCAGGTGATAAGCAGGGACCGAGCCCCGTTTAGGGGTGGGCTCTCAAGGCACACCTTGTGGGCAGGAGCACTAGGGAGCCCCTGCTGTGTCCTTTGCAGTCTCCTGGGTCTTCCTTGCGCAGGAGGGGGAGGGGAGGAAGGACAGCCAGAGCCGGGCCCTCTGCGTTCCGGAGGACTTCCTGATTTCTGCGGCAGTAGAGCTGCTGCTTGAGGGCTCCCCAGGCCTGGGCGGCTCCCCGCTCGGGGACGCTTCCCAGCGATTGCGGCCATGCACTGGCAGGGGGCGCTGCTACTTCACAGTTCGGGGCCGTCCTAATTTCCCAGCCAGCGCCGCGCAGCTCTCTGGAAGAGGCCGGGAGCCTGCAAGCCAGGGCCAAGCCGCGAGGCCTGCAGAGCGCTGACCGTCCCCAGAACACCTCGGGGCGCCGAGAGCTGAGCTCTCAGCAGCTTGCGGGGAGCGCGGTCATAGCGCCCCCTGCCTGGCTTGCAGTCCTAGAGCTTGAAGAAAACACCGGGATTTATATTTTATTTTATAGTGTGCTTCAACTTCAGCTCATTGCTGGCAAGCTGCAAACCGGGCGAGGGGAGTCACGCCTCCAAACCACACTCTAGTGATAGTCCTTTTATAATCGAGTGAGTGGAGGACCCCAGAATAGCCTTTGGGATGCAATACCTGAATTGAGCAACTACTGCTGGTACGAGGGTGTGCAGAATGGCTGAGCTAAGAAGGTGTCAGTAGGCGTGGGACAGTCTTCCTGTCTGGGGGCAGCTGCCACCACCCCCAACCTCCTGAGCAGCTGGAGCGTGGAGGCCAGTTGTGTTCCCTCCTTCTGCCTGTCCCCTTAGCTGTGTAGCTGGGGCCCTGAGGCCTCCGCAGCCTTGGCCATGGGCGCGTGGAGGTGGCATCTTGGGTTATGAGTGTGTGTGGGGCCGGGCAGGGCACTTTTAAGGAACTGGAGACACAGGGATTTGTCTGCTCTTCCTTGGAATATGTGGCTAGCCCTGAGCTCCAGTCACCCAGCCCTGCTGCGGATACCTCCCCCACCCCATGCTTCCTGTGGGTCTCATTTACCAGGAGGGAGGGAAAAAATTGCCCCCCCTTCCCTCCTTCTGGCCTTTTCCTTTCTCTCTTGGAGCAGGGAGTGCTGGTAGCTGGAGTTAATAAATACACCTACAGAAGCTCCAGCCTAGGTTTTCCTGGGGTGAGGTCAACGTGGAGACCCACTGGCCTGGGCATGGGGCCTTCACAGATTCCAGCATCAGGGCCTCTCCCTGGGGAAACTCCGCTGCCACCGAAGGCCGACCTGTGTCATGGAAGGCCAGGGTCCCACAGAGTGCAAAAAGAGACTCCAAAGTGGCACCTGGTGACCTTCGCCCATCACCCCCAGCAGGGCCCCGGGAAGGACCTTGCTCCTGTTCTCTCTCCGGAAGCTTTGGTGCACCCGGGAGGAGCTGTGGCCTAAGGCTGGGTGCCTCTCACCTCTCCACCTAATTGAGAACGCTGAATGGCTTTCTCCTTTTTTCTCCCTTCTCCTTCAATGGAGTCCAACAATTTAGCAAGCTCACCAAGCTGTGTCCTGCTTCATGACTAATTCACATATTTAAATGGGATCGGTCAAAGCCGAACTATTTGATGCCAGCCAAGCGCATTTATCAGGTCAAACTGCTCACAAAGGCTGGAGGCCCGCATGGGTATGTGAGTGTGTATGGAGTGAATGTGTGGGATATTTATTTATTTTTAGTCTCAAATTTCAAAAGCAAGAGACCACATCAGAGGCTGCTTGAGCTGCTAGGGCACCCTCCCAGGGCCTGGCTTGCTTTGGGCCCTGCCTCCCCATCCCATCCCTCTCCCCATCCCCCCAGCCCTGAGCTGTGTGTGTGTGTCTCCGATGGGGCTTCAGAGAATGAATCTACTCAATTACAGCCCTTTTCACGTGACTGAGCAGTTTCAAAGATGCCACATTTTATTATTTGGTGACCCTTGACATTGCAGGTGCAGATTTAATGGTGGAAAAGTTGAAATTAGCCAAAGTGAACTTTTTTTCTCCAGTCCCCAGCACGGAGACACGTTACAGCCTATTCCAGCTGGAGCTGCCCTAGCTTTGCTGAGTGTGTAAGTTATCAAAGTGTCAGCCTTAGCCCAGGGCCAACCACAGCCCCTCCCTCCCCCTCCCCAGCTGGATGGGTTCCAGGGCCAGGGGAGTAAAGAGTTAAACATGAAGATCCTGGCTATAATCCCCTTTGGCAAAGGAAATTCGGTCTCTTGTGTCCTTTTTGGGGTGTCTTGACATCAATCATACAGTGAGTGTGTGGCATGGGACCCAAGGGTAGCATCGTATTCAAGCAAACCCAGTAAACCAAAGTTCACGGCTTCCAGGCTGATGAGTGCTGCTGTTACAAGGTCATGATTGATCAGCGCACACTGTCGAGATGGATTTCGTGACTGGATGGCTCTTCACAATCAACACCCCTAACCAGTGACCCATGCATGTCCAAGTTTGGGTTTTGCCAGCCGACCTGCCTCTGCTCTCTCAGCTCAGCCTTTTCAAGCCAACCCTATGGCTTGTTTCTTGAGGTCTGTTCTGCATCTTTCACTGGAGCCCAGGGAAATAAAGGGCATCTTTTTGTGTACATCAAAACGAAGAGTAAACAATTTTTGCATCGCCAGGCCAGAGTACCTTTGATGCTGGATTACATTTATGAGCTAAGACATGGCATACTTCAAAGGAAACCATTCATTCAAGCGACACGCCAGAGCAAGCCACAGGCGGGGCGAAGACAGAGGGCCTTTTCATAACTTATTTTATTTTTCTTTACCCCAAATTTCAGGTATCAGTTCAGTTGTCCCTCACGTGCCTACACACGGAAGCAGCTGCGTGACTCCCCAGGAAACGGGATGCAAGGTGAGGGGTGTGGCGAAGGACAGCTCCTGTGAAGCAGGCTCTGGGACGTCTGTC